CCATAATTCTAGGTCATCAATGATTTGTAAGTCACTGAATGCTATGGCCTTTGTCAAGTATCATACTTGACCATTCAGCGGCATCCAACCCTGCTGACGATGCCTCTTCCTTGAAACACTTTTAAGTAACCCAGAGTCCTCTGGTTTTTCTCCTACTCTCTGGCTACTCCTTCTCTGTCTTTGTAGATACATTTCCTTATCTCTGTGTAATGTTAGTTTTTCGAGGCAGGGCCCTAGGTCTGCTTCTTTTATTTTCTCTTCCCCCCAAGTGACAGAATCCATGGCCATGACTTCATTGGCCACCTAAAAAGAGATGAATTCCAAATCCTTACATCCACTTCCTACCTGCCATTCACCCCTCACTGTAACAGGGTTTCTGTCTCTTTTAGGTCATCAGCTTCATTAGTTCACTAATGAAATCACAATTGCCAAATCCAATGAACACTTCCATTTCTTGTCTTCCTTAACCTCTCTGTGGCATGGGACATTGTCAGCCATTCTCCTTGAAATTTTCCCTTCCCTTAGGACTCTCACTCAGTTGAGAATAATTCACTTTCAATCATTTTTGGTGGCTCTTGTACCTGCCTCTTGGGCTATTTCTAAAAGCTGGGCAAAAATAAAGTGGTGATTTAGTAAGTAAAGGCAAACAGATGCCATGTTAGAAAGGGCTGGCAGGATGGATGAAAGTCAGGAAAAAGCTCAAGGATGTTGTCTGAACATTTATTCTTACAGGACAAGAATAGTTGATGTGGTTTGGATACTTGTTCCCAGCCAAATCTCATGGAAATATAATCCCCAGTGTTGGAGGTGGGGCCTGGTGGGGTGTTTGGGTTATGGGGCGGATCCCTCATGGCTTGGTGCTGTCCCCTCCATAGCGAGTTCTTACAGATCTGGTTGTTGTGAAGTGTGGTACCTCCTCCCCACACTCACTCTCTTGCTTACTCTGTGATGTGGGATGCCTGCCCCTGCTTCACCTTCTGCCATGAGTAAAAGCTCCCTGAGGCCTCCCAGAAGCTGAGCAATGTCAGATGCCATGCTTATACAGCTTGCAGGACTGTGGACCAATTAAACCTCTTTTCTCATAAAGTACCAGGTCTCAGGTATTTCTTTATAGCAATGCAACAACAGCCTAATATAGTAGTGTACCATGAACTGATCTTTCCCTGGTGGACAAAACGAACGTATGCTAGTGAAGGCAGAAACCAATATCGTTCATCCCCTTTCAATACTTCCAGAAGTTAATTCAGTACTCTGTCTCAAAAAAAAAAACAGAAGAAATAAAAAATAAATGTTTGCATCAACAAAGTGTGCTCTATCCTTCCCTGTACTTGTACTACAAAGACATGCTTGTTGCTTCTACACTACACAAAGTCAACAGTTATCATCAACAGTGCAATAGAACTAGATTGGAAGAAAGCTTCAAAGTGACTCTGCTCCACCCAAATTTTAAAAATTCAATTCAGGATGAACAACAGCTTTTAATTTTATAACCAGCTCTTACTTTTCTCTTGTGTCACACGTGATGAAGTTCTCACTTGACATTTCCCTCCTGCAAGTTACAATGCATGTCCTCGCCATCAACTTTTTCTGACACGAAAATTAATTTGTAGAAATCGCAAAAGCAATGAAATTGTACTTCCAATTCAGAACCTCTGACCAGATTCCTGCTTTGATGCAAACTTCCTCCTCTGCAGTGTACCCCACCAGCACAATGACCCCCTTTCTCTCTATTCTTTTGCCCTGAAGGCATTTTTGGATTGCTTAACATGTACTTTTGGCTGCCTACACAGTCAGCACACCTAAGGCTATCAGGACTTATCACACACCCCTCTTTTTTTTTTTGAGATGGAGTCTTGCTCTGTTGCCCAGGCTGGAGTGCAGTGGTGCCATCTTGGCTCACTGCAACCTCCATCTCCTGGGTTCAAGCAATTATTCTGTCACAGCCTCCCAAGTAGCTGGGACTACAGGTACCTGCCACCATGCACGGCTGATTTTTGTATTTTTAGTACAGACAGGGTTTCACCATGTTGGCCAGGCTGGTCTCGAAGTCCTGATCTCAAACGATCTGCCCGCCTCGGCCTCCGAACGTACTGGGATTACAGGCATGAGCCACCGTGCCCAACCTCCTCCTTCTTTTCTACGGCTAATACCACTTTCCTGCTTTTCTTCTACTGGTGAATATCTATACTTGGTGCTGTCATCAGGGGGACAGTGTTGATTTCGGCTTCGAGCTCCTTGATGGTTAAGCCGCATCCCTGGACAATCCTGAAGTACAATGAAACATGTTACTGTTACAACAATGCTACTAAGCTTTTACATAGGATTTTCTGAATCATAAGTTATTATTAATATATGCTAAAGCCCAGGCATTTAAGATCGTAAATATGAGGGCATGGTAAATGACAACTTGCCCACTTCCTCTCTCCATCTCCAAAGAAAAGCAACCAGTTTGTAATTATTATTTTATAAGCCTTGGTAAATTTTTTTTACAGGGTCTCACTGTGTCACCCAGGGTGAAATGCAAGTAGCTGTAGCCTCAACATTCCAGATACAGGCGATCCTCCCAACTCAGCTCCCTAGTAGCTGGGATTGCAGACACGCTCTCCCACACTGGACTAAGTTTTAAAATTTTTAGTAGAGATGGGTTCTCCCTGTTTCCCAGGCTGGTCTCAAACTCCTGAAGTTAAGTGATCCTCCTGCCTTGGCCTCCCAAATGCTAGGATTACCTGTATGAGACAACACATCTGGCCCATTTCATTTCTTTTTTTGAGATGGAATCTTGCTCTGTCGCCCAGGCTGGATTGCAGTGGCATAATCTTGGCTCAATGCAATCTCTGCCTTCCAGGTTCAAGCGATTCTCCTGCCTCAGCCTCCCAATTTGATGGGATTACAGGTACCCACCACCATGCCTGGCTAATTTTTGTAATTTTAGTAGAGACGGGGTTTTGCTATGTTGGCCAGGCTGGTCTCAAACTCCTGATTTTGTGTGATCCACCCACCTTGGCCTCCCTAAGTGCTGGGATTACAGGCGTGAGTCAACGTACCCAGCCTTTTGCGAGATTTCTAAGGATGATTAATCCTATGTATGTAGCTATCAGCATATACTTTCCAATAATTCACCAAGTATAAGCCTATCATCTTTGCTACCTTGATTTCCCAAATGATAGAACTGGTATTAACAAACTTTTGTGGTATAAACGACAGCCCAGAGGCAGTGAAGAAAAATCTAGGCAGACTGCCCCAACCCTGCCTCAAATGCATGTAACATACAGGACTCTTTATACCAACAAAAGGTTACAAAACCTCCTTAATTAACCTTTCCCCTATGGAATTAAAGATAACATCTGTGAATACCAGAAAGTTAGATCTTAATTTTATAATCAAAGCTTAATTACTGTCTCCGGACTACCTTGTGTATGCATGCTGTGAAGGGTGGTCCAGCTTCAGCTCCTCCAGATTTTGAAGGCATTAAAGTTTCACGAATGCCCCAGTCATCCTTTTTCACTGCCCTGGAAGTAGCTACCCCCACTGCCCTCACCCTTTCAATTTCTCCTGCCTCCATCCTTTAGCATCACTTCTCTCCAGCAGAGCAGCTAACTCCGCATGGCTGTAAGCACTATGAGAAAGCGACCACGTTGTGTTCACTACCATAGTGTCAGTGCCAACACATACTAGAAGGTGCTCAATTAATGTTTAGATAGCCAGGGTTTGAGTTGTCTCCATCTAATCTTTATTTCCAAAGAAATCAAACATGTGTCTGAAGGAGGCAGAAATTGATCAAACACTTGCTTTCATATTGTTTCTAACAGTTTGTATTTATTTTAAAATTATTATTATTTTTTGAGGCAGGGTCTCACTTTGTAACCAAGACTGGAGTGCAGTGGTGTGACCATGGCTCACTGCAGCCTTGACTTTCCAGACTGAAGCGATCTTCCAGTCTCAGGCTCCTGAGTAGCTGGGGCTACAAGTACACACCACCATCCCCAGCTAATTGTTAAAAATTATTTTAGATATGGGGTCTTGCTTTGTTGCCCAGGCTGGAGTGCAGAGGCATGATCTCAACTCACTGCAACCTCCACCTCCCAGGCTCAAGCAATTCTCATGCCTCAGCCTCCTGTGTAGCAGGGATTACAGGCACCCGCCACCACACTCGGAAAATTTTGTATTTTTAGTAGAGATGAGGTTTCACTATATTGGCCAGGGTGGTCTCAAACTCCTGACCTCAAGTGATCCACCCACCTTGGCCTCCCAAAATGCTGGAATTACAGATGTTAGCCACTGCGTCCAGCCTATTTTATGTTTAAATTAATAGAATTTTATTTGTAGAGAAGTTTTGGGTGACATGCCTGCACCTGCTTCACCTTCTGCCATGACTTAACGCTTTCTTAGGTCTCGCCAGAAGCTGAGTGATGTCAGATGTCAAAAATTTAATTTCTCAAAATTCATAGGTATTTAGTAAAGTTAATAAACACACTTAGCTTCATACTTGAATCTGTTACTATTTATTGACATCAAAACAAAACAAGCTAAGACTAAAAGTTGCTACTTAACACGAATAGACATTGGTGCAGTTTCCTTCCTGGAGACGGTATGCACTCAAATCATGAGACCTAAGATCAAACACACACTGAATTGTCAAGAATCAAACAAGGACTACATTTTATCTCTTAATAGAAAAGATGCTGAAGACAAAACAAGATGTTTAAAAATATTCTTTATGCTAAGCTCATGTAAACAAACAAAAAACTAAAACTAATCCTAAAACTTTAGGACATTGGATACAGAATTAACATTAACTATTTAAATTTTTTGCATCAACGAAAGTATGATCTATCCTTCCCTGTACTTGTACTACAAGGACATGCTTGTTGCTTCTACACTACACAAAGTTAACAGTTATCATCAACAATGAAACAGAACTAGACTGGAACAAGGCTTCAAAGCGACTCTGCTCCACCCAAATTAAGAAAATTCAATTCAGGATGAACAACAGCTTTTGATTTAGAACCAGCTCTTACTTTTCTCTTGTGTCACATGTGATGAAGTCCTTGATATCCCCCCTGCAAATTGCAATACATGTCCTCGCCATCACCTTTTTCTGACACTTTAAAAGTAATTTGTAGAAATTGCAAAAGCAATGAAATTGTACTTCCAATTCTGAACCTCTGATCATATTCCTGCTTTGAAACAAGACTAACTCCTCTGCAGTGTACCCCACCAGCACAGCGACCCCCTTTCTCTCTATTCCTTTGCCCTGAAGGCACTTCTGGATTGCTTAACGTGTGCTCTTTGGCGGCCTAGACAGTCAGGACACCTAAGGCCATCTGGACTTATCACTCCTCTCCTCCTTCTTTTCTATGGCTAATACCACTTTCCTGCTTCCTTTCTACTGCTGAATCACCAGACTTGGTGCTGTCATCAGGGGGACAGAGTCGATTTCGGCTTCGAGCTCCTGGTTGGTAAAGCTGCATCGCTGGACGATCCTGAAATACAATGAAATATGTTACTGTTACCACAATGCTACTAAGCTTTTACATGGGATCTTTAGAGTCATAGTTATAAAGTCAAGTCATTTAAGACCGAAAACGTGAGAGCATGGTAAATGACAACTTCCCTACTTCCTCTCTCCATCTCCAAAGAAAAGCAACTATTTTGTAATTATTATTTTATATGCTTGGGTAGATTTCTTTCTTTTTTTTTTGGAGACAGGGTCTCACCCTGTCACCTAGGCTGAAGTGCAAGTGGCACAATCATGGGTCATTGCAGCCTCGACATTCCAGACTTAAGTGATCCTCCCACCTCAGGTCCCTAGTAGCTGAGATGATAGGCACGCACTACCATACTGGGCTGTTTTTAAATTGTTAGTATAGACGGGGCCTCCCTGTGTTGCCCAGGCTGGTCTCCAACTCTTGGGCTCAAGTGATCCTCTTGACTTGGCTTCCCAAATTGTTGGGATTACAGGCATGAGCCATCATGCCCAGCCGTAAGTGCCAGTTTTAAAGGAAGCACAGAAGATAGAGGAACATGTTAAATATCACCACAGGAATGTAATTTGCCAATCCAGAACAGGAAAAGCTCTACAAGACAAATTGGCTTCTGCAACAAATGTTAGGAAAACAAGAGAAGGGGAAATTGTTTAGATTAAAAGAAAACTTGGTCCAGTGCAGTGGCTCACACCTGTGTTCCCAATACTTTGGGAGGATCAGTTGAGGCCAAAAGTTTGAGAACAGCCTGAGCAACACTGGGAGACCTCATCTCTACAAAAAAAAACTTAAAAATTAGCTGGGCGTGGTGATGCATGTCTGTAGTCCCAGCTACTCTGGAGGCTGAGGTGGGGGATCACTTAAGCCCAGGAGGTCAAGGCTGCAGCAAGCTGAGATTGCGCCACTGCTCTCCAGCCTGGGTGACATAGCAAGACTCTGTCTCAAAAAATAAATTAAAACAAAAGAGAATTGAAGACATTTCAAGCAAGTACAATTTGTTGAATTTGTATAGGTCCTGTTTTAAAAAAAAATTAATGAATTGGGAACATATGAACACTGAGTAGATAGATAGCATGTTAAGGAATTACTGTTAGGTTTTTTTTTTTGGTGTGAAAATGCTACTAGGGTAATATCAATAAGGAGTATTTATCTTAAATACTGGAAGTATTTAAGGAA